GTGTCCTTATATTTGTGTGTGAATGTGAGTGTACTGAAGTGCACACACACCCAGGTGCATGAAGAAGGGTTCAAAGACTAAACCTAGGAGCTCTCCACAGTTAATGTAATGAGATTTAGGTGAGACCTAATGCGTCCTCTGTGCTCTTCCAAGGCTTGGCAGAGATAGGCAAGCACATCCCCAGCCCTTGTTTACTCGAGACTGGGTTTCCACCTGGACCAAACTGGACTCAAAATGGAATGACTCTTTTTTTCTTTTTCTTTCTTTTTTTGTTTTTTTGAGACAGGATTTCTCCATGTAGTTTTGGTGCCTGTCTTGGATCTCGCTCTAGATCAGGCTGGCCTTGAACTCACAGAGATCCTCCTGGCTCTGTCTCCCGAAGGCTGGAATTAAAGGCGTGCGCCACCGCCAGGAAATGACCCTTGTCACTTGGCTCAGTTATCTTCCCACATGCTCTCATTAATCCATGCACTGCCTCACAGTTTAGATGACTTATCTTTAGATGATTATCTTTTTAGATGACATCTTTTTTAGACGATTATCTCATTTAACAGAAGCAACTCACTCAATACCCTTATCTTGAGGTCCCAGCGCAGATCTTTTCCTGCAGCATCCTTCAGGATTCCTGTCTGGTTGGATTCCTAAGCCTCTGTGTAGCACTGGGAGTCAGCGGGTGTCAGGAAGATCTGCTAAATTGAATTTGGAGACAGTGGCAGCACAGCTTTGTGTCCTGGGGCGACCCCTGGTGGCCTGTTGTGGGATCGTCGGCCCGTATCCGCTGTCCGTCGTACTCGCAGGCTGAGTAGTAAACTGACAGACCCGGGTTCTACCTAAGCCACGTGGCTCTCCGTGGTGCTGTTGCTCCCTCATCGTCGTCACGATGGAGGGGCTCCAAACGCGCATCATTTCCCAAGACCTTCCCACTTCTCTCATATGCAACTCTGTCGCCCTCTAGCAACACGACAAAACAAAACAACCACAAAAACTTGGAGCCAATATCTGTGAGATCTAACTCTGGTAAGGGCCACTTCCTAGAGGTGGCTGTGGGCACCGAATTGCTCCTCTCTGCGGCTCAATTTTCACTGGTACCATGAGTCTTACAGGATAATCAAGCTCGAAATTCATAAACCTTGTGAGGGCGAATAAAGGAGAGGAGGAAGGGAGAGGTGGCGTCAGAGTTCAGGGGCTGCTGCGTTTTTAGGGCCCTCCTTCTTTCTTAAGATAGGGTCTCATGTAGCTCAGGGTGGCCTGGAATTACATTAGCCACTAAAGATGACCCTGAACTGGATTTTGTTGTCTCCACTCTCATATGTTGAGATTGCAAGTGTATACCCTCAGGCCTATGTGTACACAGTCTGTGTGATTGACTTTTTTAATTTATTAATTAATTTTACACAAGGACTGCAGTTCAGTGACTTTTAAGACAATGAGACTGGGGAGGAGGCACCCTATTCTTCTTGTATATGTGTAAGAGGCTCCCTCTGCTGGCCAGAGACATCAGTCTATAAAGTTCTTCCTCCAAGAATTCCTGTGTTCATGTGTGAACACCTGCCAGTTTGCTTGTGTCTAGGCAACTGCATGCACACATCTCAGGGGCTATGCACAGGTTTATGTGCATGAACATTCATGTATGTGTGTAAATGAGCATGTGTGTGTTTCTGTGTGTATGTGATTATGTGTGCATGTGTTGGCGGCACAGCAGGAGAAACAGCACTGTGCTTGCAACTG